AAGCTGATCCATCCGAACAAGTGTGCGAAGGCGTAGTGGAGCAGTGTCGGTCTGAAATGTATGTGTGTCTGGTATAGTGGCGCCAAGGCTGGCAAGGTAGTCAGCAGGTCTGTTCCCCTCACGGAAAATGTGCGTGATCCTGTGATGGACAGACTGGAGTAGAGCTCTAATACGCATAAACGGGTGCTGAATCTGCCACGAGCCCTGGTGGCCCGAAGTCAAACGGGTGGCTACAGCCTCAACGTCTAGCTCGATCCAAATATGGCTAGAGAGGTGGACAACAATCTGAAGGTCGATCTATAATGCCTGAATCTCTGCATCATAGCTCGAGGAGGCCTGAAGGGGCGCGTGGAAGGCGGTGATGAGGGCTCCGCTGTGGTCCCGAATCAAGCCTCCTTCTCCGGCAACTCCGGTATGATGATCAAACGAGCCATCAGTGTTCAGCTTGACCCACGGAGAGTCAGGTCGAAGCCAAACAACAGCTCTGGCCCGAGGAGGCCGAACAGACGATGGTGGGGCCACCATGTAACGGTGTGGCGGCGTGCAGCCTATCCAGTCTCGGGGCGTGAGCCTGCCCAATGCTATGAGGAGTGAAATATGTCTCTCTACCTGCAAAACAATGTGAGAAAACAAAAAAATAATATCCTTATGTTTCGCACTATTCCTCTCTTTCCAGGTGAACCAAAGGATCAGACAAGGAATGAGGAAGCCCACGTGTCTAAGATGTGTGCTATGTGAGAAAAAACTCAGGAGCTCAAAGAAACTGTATGTGGTGGGTAGGGATATATGGGTCCAAGTGGCAAAATACTACCACACTCTCCTCACAATCTGACTCTCTAGAAAAAGGTGGGTAAGGTCTCGGTCTCATGGCGTCCAGTCTCAGAACAACACACACACCGAGAGGGGAAAGAGATCCCCCTCGCGTGTAACACAGTATCCACGGGTATCCGGTGCAAGAGGAGGCGCCAAAGCTATGTAGTTGCTTGGTTAGTTCTCTGTAGTTGCTAGGTTAGTTCTATCTTGTTGCTAAGTTAGTTCTAAGCAGTTGCTAGGTTAGTTGTCTCTTGTTGCTAGGTTAGTTCTCTGTAGTTGCTAGGTTAGTTATCTAATGTTGCTAGGTTAGTTATCTGATGTTGGTAGGTTAGTTATGTCTCGTTGTTAGGTTAGTCGTCTGTTGTTGCTAGGTTATTTCTATCTTGTTGCTAGGTTAGTTATGTCTAGTTGCTAGGTTAGTTGTCTGTTGTTGCTAGGTTAGTTCTATCTTGTTGCTAAGTTAGTTCTAAGTAGTTGCTAGTTTTGTTCTAAGTAGTTGCTAGGTTAGTTGTCTGTTGTTGCTAAGTTAGTTTTCTGTTATTACTAGGTTAGTTCTCTGTAGTTGCTAAGTTAGTAGTTGCTAGGTTAGTTCTCTGTAGTTGCTAGGTTAGTAGTAGCTAGGTTAGTTCTCTATAGTTGGTAGGTTAGTTGTCTATAGGTGCTAAGAGCTGGTCCCATTTTAAGAGCTGGGCGCATTTTAAGAGTTGGTCCCCATTTGATCCGCCCCCTATATATATATATATATATATATAGGTATATATATATGGGGTTGGGTTCACATGAGAATGGTTCATAATGAAAGAAATGAGAATAAATTGTCGTCATTAGATCGGATGATCTAATGGCTAAAAAAAAGTCAAAATTATACATCACTAAGGGTATATTAGACATTTTGTCAGATCAACAACAAGTGGGTCTCAAAACGACAAAACCAGCTCCATCCAACTCACGCAACACTTTTTCTCTCACACGCAAAAACACACAGTAAAGTGTGTTCCTTCTTCTTCTAGTATGTTTCTACTTTCCACATTCCATCAAAATGTCGCCGTCGCCGGTGCTCCACCACCGCGCGCCGCATCCCTCACCTCTCGCTGGTCCTCGCAGCCGCAATCTCCCTCGCCTTCTTATCCCCAAACGTCGTCCTGTACAGATCTTAATCCCTTACCCGCCGCAGAGATTCTCCTTCTCCCTCCTCCGCCGCGCCACCGACTCGTTCGCCGCCGACAACCGCCTCGGGCAGGGCGGATTCGGGTCCGTTCATAGGGGAACCCTCCCTCCGGCCAGAGGATCGCCGTCAAGCTGACGAGCAAGGCCTCCATCAAGGCGTGCTCGAGTTCCACAACGAGTTGTCCCTCGCCGATTGCCGATTTTGGTTTTAGCTCATGTGTTGAATTGGTAGGACGAGGTGGCGGGGATAATTGTTGAAGATGATGAGAGTAATTAAGAAAACCGCAGAGAAAATGGATTTGGCCATTTGGGCTGGGTGTTGAGAATTTACTAATTCATAGGGGCCTAATTACAATTCATAGCTTTTAATTTAATTAATGGGTTAAATTTCTAATTATTAAAAATGTAATAATCATACAATAATGTTAATTGAATTGTACAATATCACAATTGTAATTGCACATAAAAAGTACTCACACTGCAGAAACTAAAAATTTTGGTTTAAATATATAATAATTCGATTCGATTATTTGTTATTATTTTCAATTAAATTATTTAGGTTCAATGTCGGATTTATATTTTTATATAAAAACATTATTTATTTCATAGAAAACAAATAAAATAAAATATAAATATTAAAAATACTAAATATATTTTTATAATAAAATATATTTTATTTCAATTATATTTGTAAATTCGGTTAACCAATCACGAAATACTTTGCTTCAAATTTTAGTTTAGTTTCAGACAAAAGTTAGACAGATTCAGACTGCACAATAACGATCAAGACCGTGCACAATATGGTTATACCAATTGGACATTAATGATAGTCAAACTGCACAACAGCGACTGAACTAAAAACTACGATTATTTGTTTTTTACTTTTAAAATCTCGGTTATTTTTACCGAAAAAATATAATGTTGAACCAAATGCACATTAATGCGTTCGAGAATGCACGTTAGTATAACATTGTACATATTCACATATATTAAAGTTTCGGTTATTTTGATTCAGTTTCAACCTTAGTTACAAAATTAAAAGCATAAAAATTAAAAAAATAAAATAACAGAACTGATCGAATGATAGAAAAAATAATATTTATATTTTATCTATATGTATTATTAATTCTCGTCTCATAACAATATAAAATATTTAATAAGAAATATAGATACCAAATATAGTTTTATTGTATAAATAATTTGATAAATGTAAAATAATGTTGATTGAAGTACACATTAAAAGAATTTCTAATATTCAAATGCACATAAAAATATATCGATCACCACACTACACAATTAATTTCAATAACTCTCGTCAAAGTATTATGCAAGATAAATTTAAAAAAATAGATCTACATAATAATTTAATATCAATCACATCAGCTATACACAAAAAAGCATAAACATGATAACGTATTAAAATTTCAATATTTCACTTTATAAACCAACACGTTGCACTTTATACAACAATATGGTGCACTTTATAACGCAACATACTGCACATTATATATATGAAAAAAGAGTTGTTATTCCAGGGTGCAATTTTTATAGATATTAAACTTTTGGTTATTCTGGTTTGATTTTGTTTTCTCTTTTTTACAAAAAATAAAAAAAAAAAAGAATTAACATAAATGATTGAACTATATAAAACATGATTTTTTTTATATTTTATCTATATATATTATTATGTTAAAAAAATAATATAAAATATTATAAAAAATTAAAACTGTTAAATATATAATTTATTATATAAATAATTTAATACATGCAAAATAATGGTGACTAAAGTATACATTATTAGAGTTTTTTTATAATTGAAATTCACATAAAAAATACCGTTCAAATATATTGCACAATAATGTTAGACGAAATGCACATTAGTACATGTGATAATGCACGTTATCGATTTATATATTTTATATATTTTGTATTTTCAATATCAAATAGTATAAAATATTAAAATAGTCATTTCAATTATTTAGGATAATTCGGTTGACAATCAAATAAACCGATTATTCCGGTTTAGTTTTAGTTTGGTTTTGGACGAACCATAAAAAATGTTTGCGATGTGAGTGAACATTATTGTTAGTCGAATTGCACACTGATGACTATCGGATTGCACAATATCGACCGAAGCTGATCCAACTGAAATCTTTGTTGAAATTTTATATCGGATCGATTATCCATTTTTAACTTTATAAATATTGTCAAATTTCGGCTTGATGTCCTTTTTTTTTAAATGACCGAAATAACCGAACCAACCAAACTATATAAAAATATTATTATTTCTTTTCTATTTTTTATGTGAAATTATTAATTATTTACAAGCAAAAAAATATAAAAGCATTAAATATTAAATAAAAAATATTAAAATACTAAATATATTCTTATAATACAAATAACATTTATTACGATTATTTTATTTTCTTACAAAATTTTGGCCGGCTCGATTTTTCTAAAAATTCGACTCATTTATTTAAATTTTGACATTTGTGTCAGTTGATTCTACCGAAGTAACCGAATAACAATATTGTGCATTCTTATTGATATTTTTGTATTATTTTTTTTAGATTTTAATGTGCATATACATTGACGTTGGTGTGCACTTTATTTATCATTATTGTGCATTTAGTTTTTATTATAAATAATATATCTAACACATGAACTAAACTAAAGTGTTATATATTTAAAGTTCTTCAAAATTACATATATGTCCTTACACCTTATCCAATTTGCAATATTTAAACCAACCCCAATTTAGCCCAAAAAAATGTCTCTCTCTCGACCTTGTTCAAATCATCAGACAATCCACCGCCGACCACCTGTAGATGCTCATCTTCACCTCGTCAGACCAGATTCCGACAGCATATCCGGCGACGACATCACAACTTGCCTCAATTAAAAGTTCTGCCTGGTCCCACTGAAAAGTGAATCATCGTCGGCAACCGGACATTTGCGCTCGAGAATCAGATTGTCGGCGTATTTGAAGGCCGTGAGGTTCTTTAACCTTCCTATTCTCATCAGGATATCTCCGAGGAACCACTCGCCAGATCCATGACGGGTGCTCGAGGCTCGATATAATATCGATTCCATACGGCCATACGGGAGATTTTGCCTTCGAGCGAGAAGTTGTGGTCAACCTTGGGACATACAATGACGACGGAGAAAATATTGTGGGAGACGGCGGAGGTCGGAAATGGCGAATTCTGTTGTGAACTGCCGTCGGTGTGTGGTGGCGGTGGCGCGGTTGGTGGGGGATGGTGGCGGAAGCTAACTGTGGCGAAGGTTCTGACGTAATCGGAGGGGCTGTTGCGGTAGGCGGCGGTAGGCGGAGGATGAGTGTTAATGGCTGTGGCGACGGTCGTCGGTCGCCAGCGGGTGTCACGGTGGTCAGTTCTTCATAACTGGTGTGTGTGTGTGTGTGTCTGGGGAATGTGTGCGTGTGGTGATATTTGTGTGTGTTTTATTGTGTGAGAGAGATGGTGTGGGGTCCATCAGATTAGTGAGTTGAATTTTTGTAATGACTCTTATACCCTTAGTTTGTGGTCAATTACACAAGTTTGACCACGAAATCTCTAAGTATTTACTATAATGCCATCATGTTATCGACTGACATTATTAAAGTTCGACTCGATCGTGACCATTAATTTGATGGATCCAATAATCCAGATTCATTCTCATTTCTTTCACTATCTACCATTCTCACATGATCCTAACTATATATATATATATGCATCCACTTATTTAAAGTGAGGACGTAAGACTCATTTTTAGCCACAAGATTTGGTACATATCATGTGTGGCCAAGATTTACTCTTTTCTTTTTATTATTTTAATTATTTAAATATTATTTTGACCCGTTGACCGTTGACTTCGGCGTTGACCGTTGACTTCCGGCATTGACCGTTGACAACTAACCTTTGAACTAGGTTAGTTCTCTGTAGTTGCTAGGTTAGTTCTCTGTAGTTGCTAGGTTAGTTCTCTCTAGTTGCTAGGTTAGTTCTCTGTAGTTGCTAGGTTATTTTTCTTATTTTTCTTTTCTTTTTTTTTTTTAACAAACAACGCCCCGGAAGGGCGGGAGATTGGGCTGGATCCCCAACCTGTGCATAGATCAGGACCCTAAAATCGGGCCCAAAATGTAGTTGCTAGGTTAGTTGCTAAGTTAGTTGTCTGTAGTTGCTAGGTTAGTTGTCTTTTGTTGCTAGGTTATTTCTTTCTTGCTGCTAAGTTAGATGTCTTTTATTGCTAGGTTAGTTGTGGTTTATTGCTAGGTTAATGTTGTTGCTAGGTTAGTTATTTGTAGCTGCTAGGTTAGTTGAGTTTTGTTGCTAGGTTAGTTGTCTTAAGTTGCTAGGTTATTTTTTTCTTGCTGCTAGGTTAGTTGTGTTTTGTTGCTAGGTTAGTTCTTTCTTGATGCTAAGTTAGTTGTCTGATGCTGCTAGGTTAGTTGTCTTTTGTTGCTAGTTTTTTTTTTTTTAAACAAACAACGCCCCGGAAGGGCGGGGGATTGGGCTGGATCCCCAACCTATGCATATATCAGGGCCCCAAAATCAGGGGCCCAAAATATCAACGAGCAAGATACAATAGTCTACAGAGCCTCACTAACCAAAATCAAAAACAAAAAACAAAAAAGAAAAACCGAAAAACGAAAAAGAAACAGAAACTACAATACAAAGTCGATCTTCGGGCTAACAGATGCCCGAAATAAATGTCTAGACTAATGAAAGCAAAAATCCTAAACTACTGAAAGCGGAACGCTGGATATCCAAGCTGGTCCATCCGTACAAGAGTGCGAAGGCGGAGTGGAGCAGTGTCGGTCTGAAATGTATGTGTGTCTGGTATGGTGGCGCCAAGGCTGGCCAGATAGTCGGCAGGTCTGTTCCCCTCACGGAAAATGTGCGTGATCCTGTGATGGACAGACCGGAGTAGAGCTCTAATACGCATAAGCGGGTGCTGAATCTGCCACGAGCCCTGGTGGCCCGAGGTCAAAAGGGTGGCTACAGCCGCAGCGTCTAGCTCGATCCAAATGTGGCTAGAGAGGTGGACAGCAATCTGAAGGCCGATCTGTAATGCCTGAATCTCTGCATCATAGCTCGAGGAGGCCTGAAGGGACGCGTGGAAGGCGGTGATGAGGGCGCCGCTATGGTCCCGGATCAAGCCTCCTCCTCCGGCAACTCCAGTGTGGCGATCAAAGGAGCCATCAGTGTTCAGCTTGACCCACGGAGAGTCAGGTCGAAGCCAAACAACAGCTCTGGGCCGAGGGTGCCGAACAGGCGGTGGTGGGGCCACCATGTAGCGATGTGGTGGCGTGCAGCCTGTCCAGTCTCGGGCCGTGAGCCTGCCCAATGCGATGAGGAGTGGAATGTGTCTCTCTACTGCAAAACAATGTGAGAAAACATAAAAGTAATATCCCTATACTTCGTACTATTCCTTTCTGTCCAGGTGAACCAAAGGATCAGACAAGGAATGAGGAAGCCCACGTGTCTAAGGTGTGTGCTCTGTGAGAAAAAACTCAGGAGCTCAAAAAAACTGTATGTGGTGGGTAGGGATATATGTGTCCAAGCGGCAAAATGCTCCCAGACTCTCCTCACAATCTCACTCTCTAGAAAAATGTGGGTAAAGGTCTCGGTCTCATGGCGTCCAGTCTCAGAACAACACACACACCGAGAGGGGAAGGAGATCCCCCTCGTGTGTAGCACAGTATCGACGGGTATCCGGCGCAAGAGGAGGCGCCAAAGGAACACCGAAATAGTAGGGGTGAAAATGTCACTCCAGATGGCCCCGAAGAGGAGATTAGGTCGATCCCTCAGCCTGATCTGCTCCCAAGCCGAGGTAGTAGAAAACACACCTGATGATGTAAGTCTCCACCTCATGCTAGCTGAATCGTCCCCCGAGATAGGGATCTGCTGGATCTAATTTAATAAATGCCCGCTAAAACCCCCACCAGACCCCAACTCCCTATCAAGCTTCCCCCTATCCCACGACCCGTCCGTCCAAAGGTCGCTCACAAGCAGGTAGGGGGAATGCGACACCTGCATATCCCTAGACAACGGCCTATCACCTACCCACCACTTATCCCAGAAACTAACATCGCCCTCGCCCAGAACCCAAAAAATGTGATCCTGGGCGCGCCTACCAACCCTAGTAAGGCGCCGCCACTGCCTACTATCATGATCAACAACCGTCACCCAACAAAGGTGGTTGGCACGTCTAGGGCAGTACTTGCCACGAAGGTACTGAGACCAAAGCGACTTTCCTTCCCTGAAGCGCCACCACAGTTGTATGAGAAGGCTGTAACAATGTCCCTGAGGCGGCGGATGCCAAGACCACCTCGGGGAGGGGTCGACAGATGGAGTCCCAACTCACCTAGTGGGTACGTCTCCCCCTCCCAGAACCGTCCTCGTAACTCCAGAAATAACGAGCCATAATCTGGTCTATCTCGTCAAGAGTATACCTAGGGTGGTCGAGGACCATAAGCAAGTGAATTGGAAGAGAGCTAAGAGTGCTCTTGATCAGCTCAAGCCGACCACCGAAAGAAAGATATCTATGCAACCAACCAGAGATCCTGTCGATCATCCTCTGCCTGACGCCCGCAAAGAGCGCTCTCGTGAGGTTGCCCTTATATAAAGGGACGCCAAGGTAGGTAATCGGAAGCTCGCCACGCGCAAAGTCAGTAATGTCGTGGACCCGCTGAGCCCACCTGGCCACGCTGGAAGAGGAGAGGGTGAATGTGCTCTTCTGCACACTGACCAGCTGACCGGTAACCGAGCCATAGTGCTCCAAAAGGCGCATGAGCTCGACCAGTCCATCATCATCCGCCCGGGTGAAGATGATGATGTCATCCACGTAAAAGATGTGAGAGATGGGAGGACCATAGTCACGGGTGCTATACGTCATATGAGGAAAGTCGCGGATGAAACCGTCAAGGCAGCGAGAGAGGTAGTCCACTGCAAGGACGAAATGGGAGGGGGACAGGGGGTCGCCCTGTCTAAAGCCTCTAGATGAGGGAAAGAAATCGGTGGGGCTGCCATTGACCAGGAGAACGTGCAGTGCTCGGTTATTTCTTACTAGGTTATTTCTTACTTGCTGCTAGGTTAATTGTCTGATGCTGCTAGGTTAGTTGTATTTTATTGTTGCTAGGTTAGTTGTCTGATGCTGCTAGGTTAGTTGTATTTTATTGCTAGGATAGGTTATTTCTTTCTTGTTGCTAGGTTAGTTGTCTGATGCTGCTAGGTTAGTTGTATTTTATTGCTGCTAGGTTAGTTGTAGGTTAGTTGTCTGATGGTGCTAGGTTAGTTGTATTTTATTGCTGCTAGGTTACTTGTCTGATGCTGCTAGGTTAGTTGTATTTTATTGCTAGTTTATTTTATTGCTGCTAGGTTAGTTGTACTTTTTTGCTCGGATATTTCTTTCTTGCTGTAAGTTTTGTATTTTATTGCTAGGATATTTCTTTCTTGCTGCTAGATTAGTTGTCTTTTGTTGCTAGGTTTTTTTTAAAAAAAAATTGCTTTTGTATTTTATTGCTAGGATATTTCTTTCTTGCTGCTAGATTAGTTGTCTTTTGTTGCTAGGTTTTTTTTTTAAAAAAAAATTGCAACCCATAGGATTTGAACCTGGTACCTCATGGAAGCAAGACAAGCAATGCAACCACTACACCACTCAAGGTTGAGTGTCTTTTGTTGCTAGGTTATTTATTTCAATGCAACGGGTCAACACCGGAAGTCAACGATTTTCGCCGGAAGTCAACGGTCAACGCCGGAGTCAACTAGTAATTATTTTATTATTTAATTAATGTATATTTTAATTGATTTTGATCTAGACAAAATGAGTGGCTAAGATTGAGTCTCACGTACTCATTTTAATGAGTGGTTTCATTGGATCCTATATATATATATATATATATATATATATAGGATGTGGTTCAAATGAGAACCAAGTTCTAGCGTGAGAACCGCTATTTTTAATTGTATGAAGTGCTATGATTGAGTGTGTTTTTGTGATATTTTTAACCAAGATGTATTGTGTTAAAAATAACAACACAATTTATATTTACATTTATAAAAATGATAGCATCATGTAATATTAAAAATAGCATAAAATATGATTTTCACGATTCTCACAGCAGGGCTAATTTTTATTTGAACCAACCCATATATATATATATATATTGATCCTCAAATAGTTGGTATAGCAACCAACAAATAGCCTTTTGCATTCAATTTACTAAATTAAATTTTTNTCAAAAAAAAAAATTACATGTAGACAATCTTAACTTCAATTTCGAAATTTAAAATGTTTGATTAATTATAAAGGTTTGGATAGTTTTAGTGTAAGTAAAGAAAAGAAAAATTAGTGATTTACAAGGGACAATGAAGTGATATGATACACATTTTTTAAGTATAAATGTAAACTACGACGAGTGATATAGAACTTCCAACCATAAACTATGAGTTTGTGAGAAAAATGAAGGGGAAAAACAAAAAAATTATAAAAGATAAAAAGATTTACTATCAAGGGAGATTCTTTACCTAGTCCAAACTTTGGACACTAGTTGCTTCAAAAAAATAAAAATAAAATAAAAATAAAAAAAAGGCATTTAATTTTTTAATTTTTAGAAGAATAAAATCACTATATATGAACATTAAAGTTTTGATTTACAATATTTAGTGAAATAAACACACAGATAAACATTTTCATATAAAATAAAGAGAAATGTTATAGGTACATAATGTTATACATGTGGGTGTACATAGACTAAAAATAAAAAAATTAAGTGGACCACACTCCATGTGAGTATTATGTACACCTCCATGTATATTTATTATGTACTTGTAACATTTTTTTTTTAAATAAAATTCTTAAATTTGACAAAATGAACATCTAACAGCGAGCTCGAGGGCCCAAGTGCACCGAAGATGCCAAGGGTAGAACCTCGAGCAACAAGCTCGAGGGCCCTAGGGCATCGAAGATGCCAAGGTGCAGAGACTCGAGCAATGAGCTCAAGGGTCCAAGGACTTCGCCAACAAAGTCAATGGGCAGAACATCGAGTAACGAACTCGAGAGCCTAAGGACTTCACTAGCAAAGTCAATAGAAAGAACCTCGTGCAACGAGCTCGAGGGCCCGAGGACTTCACCAGCAAAATGACATGGCAGAATTTCGAGCAACGAGCTTGAGGACCCAAGGACTTTACCAGCAAAATTAAGGGGCAGAACCTCAAGTTACGAGCTCAGGGGCCCAAGGACTTCACTAGCAAAGTCAATGAGCAGAACTTCGAGCAACGGGCTCGAGGGTCCATGGACTTCACCAGCAAAGTCAAGGGGCAGAACCTCGACCAACAAGCTCGAGGGCCCAAGGACTTCACTTGCAAAGTCAAGGGGCAAAAGCTCGAGCAACAAGCTCGAGGGCCGAAGGACTTCACAAGTCGAGTTAATGGACATACTCACGAGCTGACGTGATCAAGAGCCCGGTGACAAAACAAATAAAGTACTCAATGAGGCAAGACATCGAGTAGTCAGCTCGATGACCTTTAGTTTACAAAACAAGTGGAAGGAGCTCGATTAATTCAACTCGAGGGCAAAAAAATTTTTCAACGGCAGAACAACGAATAGATGGCGCGAAGGCCACAGGGGCAAAGAAAGTGCAAAGTTAGCTCAGGAGCCATAGTTGCACGCAAGATGTGACAGAACTCCAACGTAACTTTGGGGCTAGACGAGCCTAGGACCTCGACGACACAGTCCTATGAGATCGACTTGGCCAAGAAATGATTGTTCTACTCTTAAACGAGTTTTACGCTAACAAGCTCGTCTAGAATGCGTGGAGGTCTATATGATGTAGCACCCAGAAAAGCTCGTCTTAGGGGAAGTATGGCTCCCATCTCGGAGGACGATCGAATGGTATGAGGTGGACTTACATCTTCGGGTGTATTTTCTATGACATCGGCTTGGGAGGAAGTATGGTTGGGTGACCGGCCTAACTCTCTCTTCGAAGTCATTTGGACCGACCTACTTACTCATACAATTTATGTCTTCCTTTGGCGCCTTCTTCTGCGTCGGATTGTGATCAACTCTGTGCTGCAGGCGATGAGGGTTTCCTTCCCCTCGCGGTATTGTTGTGCCGAGACCGGTGATTTCCAAACTGAGAACTTTTCCCACTTGTTTTTAGAGAGCGAGGTTGCGAGGAGAGTGTAGGAGAATTTTGCCATATAGATTGAGTTTTTCTTTTTTTATAGCGCACACACTTTAAACACGTGGGCTTCCTCATTCCTTATTTGATCATGTGGTTCGGACAGAGAGGAATAGTGCGAAGCATAGGACTGTTACTTTTATGTGCTCTCACATTGTTTTGCAGGTTGATCAACATCTCTCTCTCATCATAGCTCTGGGCAGACTCTCGTGTAGAGACTGGATAGGTTACACTCCGCCCCGCCACCTCGTGTCGACACCATTGCCGCATGTCCAGCACTCACGCCCCAGAGCCATTGTTTGGTTGAGACTTGATTCCCACTGACGGATCTTTCGACCAACTCACCGGAGCCGCTAGAGGCGAGGGCCTGATTAGAGATCACAGCGGAGCTCTCATTGCCGCCTTGCACGCCCCTCATCGGGCCTCATCGAGCTAGACGCGGAAATTCAAGCGCTCCAGATCGGTCTTCATATTGCAACCTCTATCTCTACTCACATTGAGATTGAGCTGGATGTTGCCACTGTCGTCACCCTCTTGACCTCGGGCCACCAGGTTTCGTGGCAGATTCAGCACTCACTCATGCGCATCAGATTCACACTTCAGTCGGTTCGCTACTGGATCTCACACATCTTTCGCGAGGGGAACCGGCCCGTAACTTCCTGGCTAGCCTTGGAGCCACCATCCCCCAGAGGCGCACTTTCCACTCTGACGACGTCCCTCTCCACCTACGTACTTTAGTGCAGATGGACTAGCTTGATTGCCCCTCGTTTAGATTTTAGCTACCCCTCGTTCAAATTTTAGTAGCCGTTTTGTGTTTGTTGTTCGTTGGCCCACTTTATGGTGTGGACCATTCGCCTAGACACCTGCTATCCCGGNCAGACTCGTGCAATCTTCATTACAAAGTAAATAAGCAATTAATTTATCCTTTTTTTGTTTCCTTTCCAAATGAAACAACATATCGATTCTCTTATCTTACAAGAAGCCTTTTTTTTTTAAACAAAAATATAGAGAAACTACTTTTTGAAGGAAAGCACAGAAATATCCATAAATGCAGGAGTTTAGCTCATTGAGTTTGAAGAGGAGATTGGAAATTATTAGAGAATAAATCTACAAATATACACATATTCATTGCCTTCAGATTTCACACAAAATTATAATCATAATATATAATATGTATTCCAATTTTCTTTCATGGAGTGCATATGATCGTATCTTCATCATCATCACAGCTTTGCTTGTTCTTCAAGCTGTTCCTGCTCAAAGGATTCTCAAGTCAAAACAAAAAGGAAAACTAAATCTGCTAAGTAGTAAGTTTAACTTCATGTTTGAGAAACTTCCGTTTTAGTAAATCGAACAGAAATTATATAATGTTTCAACAAAGCTATACGGATTACATGCCTTCGGTATACATGCACTTCAAGATGCCTACTTTGTTTGTCATTCATGTTGTAAGAAAGACTGTAAAAAAAATACTCATTTTCCTTCTGTAGAAATCCCGATCAATATATTCAGAGTTTGCGTTTGAATGTTAGCTGATATGAGGGCATTTGAGATATACACGTTATGCATCGACTTTCTTTCCATTCAAAAAGAGATGAATTAAAGACGGGATGTGTGGTACTGTAACTAACCTCAGTCACAAAGAAAGCATGGAAACCATAAGGAACTCTTTTGGGTAGTTCAACAATAGCAACAGGCTCAGGTGACATTGTTTTCGCGTCAATCACGTTTACAGCTGATTTTCTGTACATATCATGAAAAAATAGGATTAAGTCAAATAATTTGACGTGAGCTTGCTAGTAAAGTACAGAAACAGGACAGCAACTAGGATAATAATACTAGATAATATATCCAAACCTCAGGAGTTAAGAGAATNNAAAACAAGTTGTATAGAATTTAACGATTTTCCATCCTGCATTTTGTTACACAGTACTCCATTCCATATTAATTTTACAATCTAATGATTTTAATGGGCAGACATCCTGCAATGTTTCATGCAGTAATATACCAAAATTAGACCAAAAACAGTACCCAGTTTTTTCGTCATGTACAAAGAATATCAAGTAGCCGTCATCTTCTTCAGATGTGGTGCCAGGCTGGCGTGGAACGAAAATAGCCTCCGAGCCGAATCTTCCAGGCCCCAGATCAAAGATGCCACTGACATTTCCTCCAACTTTGAGCTTTTCTTTTTCGGTCTCTGGTTTTTCATGTAAATCAAACTTGATAATTCCTGTGACCTTTGCAATTTCATCTAGTATAGTCCCATACACATAACGTTGTTTCCTGAATGCATAAAAAAAGAACAAAACAATGCCTATTAATCATCGTGACCATTAATTAGATACCAAAAAGAAGAGGATCATTAACAACGGTCTAAGAAGTCCTGAACTTCTACTGAGCTCTATTTTCTGTTTGCAGCCTAAATTTAACCTGAAGTTCATAAAAAATTTACCTGCCAGTGTAGCTTTCATTCACCCTTGGAAAATCTACAGCAGATACGGATAATCTTTTCTGAGAAGCAAGACCATTTTTTAGGTTGAATCTCATCTCATACCTGATACAGAACACAACATATGATCTTTCAGTTATATGCGAGTTGTCCTCACCAATTTATCGGCATGTATGTTTCTTACAGTTAAGAAAAGAACAACAACAACAACAACATAGCATTTTAGTCCCAAACAAGTTGGGGTAGGCTAGAGATGAAACCTAAGAGAACCAATGGTGAGAGAAACACAAAAAGGGCTCAAAACACAAGGGAGAGATTAGAGCAAGAGAGAGAGGAGCAAAAGTCACGGTTCTAGCACATTGATTGCTAGCCTCCAAGCGCTCCTATCCACCACTAAATCTTTAGAGATATTCCAATCTTTAAGGTCTCTCTTAACCAACTCTTCCCAAGTGAGTTTAGGCCGACCTCTACCAGTTAAGAAAAGAAAAAAAAAAAAAAAAAAAAAGTGTCTTACAGTTCATTTGTGAAATGCTCAAGCTTTCCTTCTACTGAGCCATTCACCTGGTCAAGATCTGGGTTCTGAAGCCGACAAGTAATTAAAACAACTTCATCTCCTTCTTCCCAAGCATTTGCTGACAGAAAGACATAATCAGTCGACAAGATTAAAAGCAGACATAAAATTACGGCAATATGTATGAGTATGGCATCCCTTTAACCTCGACATGGAGATTTAACCTTTCGTTCTCGTGGCTTATCATTTTAGGTTACCAGAGGCATAGTTTAATTGATAAAGGTTGTAACTTTGACAAAAATGTCTTTGGTAGGCCCCAAATCTGTAAACTACTTTTCTTTTCTTTTTTCTAACGTCCAAAGAGGTATAGATGTGTTCACTTGACAACTACTGAAGACACTGGGAATAACTAAAAAGTACATTTGGCTTGCAATTCTAAGGCACATGGATATTAAGACGCTCACCATTATGAAATATGAAGCAATTCGAGAGCTCAAACCACCTGATTAAGAGCTCGTTCTTTGCATACCGCGGAAGGATTCCAAAACGAGCTTTCTTAGTAGGATCGAAAGAGTAGGCAAGTTTCTTTTCCTTCACCATTTCCTGAGAATATGGTAATACTGAATAGTTTAAGTAATCATACCTAATGACAATTTTGGTATGAAGTAATAACTTCACGATTCCAGAGTGTATCTTAACATGCCAATCAGTTACATGGGAAGACATTGTACAAGCTCCAATTATGTATTATCTTCTTACATTAAACATCACCATAATTAAGATCGGCCAACCTAGCAAGTGCTAATCAATTAAGGGAAGCCATTTAAAGTAAGAAAACAGGAGTCAATTGAAGCGGATTAACATTAAATTCATAAATACATACTAATAATTCCTCATAATTTTATAGACGAGGGATCTAAAGATTTTTACTTCTAAAGTAAAAATGTGGGTTTGCTAAAAACTGGTCCACAATGCGGATTTATTATGTCTATTCATAAAGGAAGAGAAAAACATTTAGATCAACCTTCGTACGTGATAACATAATTGGCATCTTCTATAGGTGAAAAAACACGAATATGTCAATGCTTTATGTGTCAATGATGATATATAAAAATGTACTGCACAATCCATTTCACATAAATAGGTAAGTATAGTTAAGGGCGTTGCATTATCATCACACCTTTGGCCTGAAGTACAACGGTAGATCCATAAAAATTGCATAATTTTCAGTAATGGCAAAATCATGCATCATAATTGGTGCTGCTATTGTTATTGGCACTGGATCCTGCATCACACCTTCCTTCGATATGACTCTGTATGTAACATATGGTGGGGTCTGTGAATAGCCAAAGGTAAACATTTCCCCTGTATTGAAAAAAAAAAGTTCTATAAGAAAATAGATAATAGGAAACAGAAATCTTTTAAACTTGTATTTACTGACGAAACCAATTGAGCTTAAAAATAAGTACAAATTCGAGCATGTCTACCACAAGTTTCTGTAGTGTACTTGAGCGATGCTATAAAAGGATATATCAATACAGAGACGAAAACAAAGTTTCAAACTTGGTAATAAACTTGATAGTCATAAAAAAAATTAACTGAGCAAGATGACTTGGCTAAATGTTGTGGTAAATTACTTATACCATAGGACTCAAATTGCCTACGAACTTACCCGTGACAGGGTCAACTTTAGGATGAGCAGTAAAAGAATGTGACAGTCTTTTGTCATAGTCGAGCAAGCCAATGGTCTGTAGATCTCCATCTTCCAAAACTTTGATGGCATCTGTGCAGCAGACATAAAGTGGTAAATGAAAAACATATATGACCATACATATGGTGCCCAGATGTTCGTTTTCGTTTCATAATAGTGACAATTTTCACCTTTATAATAAGTCAAAAGAAACTAAGAAAGAGAAAATGCTAACGATGGAAGCTTGGAATAGATATAAAAATAAAACCTTCGTGAAGGGGCATAGTTATGGAATAAAATTGTGAAAAAGAACGCGGATTTACATGGTTTATCAGCCTCACTGAGAGCCAAAAGATTCCCATTGTGGTAGACCAGGGCTGTATTAGCTGAAATGGTGTTCCACAATCAATAAGTTACAAGCGTAACGTTAGAAGTGGTCAACAATGAAAACAAAAAAGGACCCATGTTCTATATTCTAAAGATGCTGGCTCTATTTATATCAGAAAGTATATATAGGTGAAATTAGAAAGATGCATATCAGATGAATAGATAAGCAACATGTCACGTGACAGCCCTGTAAACTACTACACACAATTGTCCGTATAAATTAGCAAACCTCAAACATATTAACAAAATAAATGGTACAGTTTGTTCCAGCTGACTCACAGATGCACACCCATATCCATCCCCAGAGAGAGAGAGAGAGAGAAGGGGAGAGGTAGGAAAAATATATAGCTGTTGAAATGGTAGAAAGCATTAATCAAACATACCTGTACCGATTCCATAAGAATTATCGAGTACATTGAGTTTAAATCTTAGCATTTGCATGTAAACTGTAACAAGTCCAAATACTCCTTTGAGGTCACCAATCTGCAAAGCATGTTGACATTATAGAGCACCATACATGATATTTTGAAGCACAGACAACCATGCTCATGAAATTACGATCAACATATTCTTGTTTCAAACAAGTATACTTAACCAGGCAACGATAAGTACTAAGTTATAGTCAGATATGCACAATGTGATCTTTTTCAGGATACTCCCGTTTCAGTAATTAAGATAAAGATGATAGTACTTTGAACATACTATATACTGGCTTACTAACAAAATTTAGAGGTATAGGCTATGTTTGGTAAACAAATAAGCTAGCTTATAGCTTATTTGGTTAGCTTATAAACTCCCTGTATTTAAATAAAAACTTCTTTAGGTAGCTTATCAAATAAGCTAGTTGAATTTTTTATTCCAGCTAGCTTATCAGCTAATTTTACCAAATACTTTATCATATAAGCTAGCTAAAACTTTCAGCGATAAGTCATAAGCTATAAGCTATAAGCTCAAAAATTACTAATAAGCTATCAGCTAGTTTTACCAAACAAAGCCATAGTACTTTCACATTCTATATACTGGCTTATCCACAATTTTCAGAGAAGTGAAATAGTACAATCTAAGTATCTTACAGCATGAAACACTTCGGAGAAGTTATTACATCCCTACAACTGAAGCTAGAGTTACACATTAGCACATCAATCAACTAATGGAATTGTTTATAAAATCTGGCCACAAAATGGTACAAACCTAATACCTAGGATACAAGGGTAATTTTGACTTCAGGCACAGACACAAAACTAAGTGTATGAACTAGCTAAAATTCTTACCATGTATTGGGAGAAAAGGACAAAAGGACTAACGTTGCAGATAAAGAAAGAAGCACACTATGACAAGAACAATGTTCCCATGTGTACCTTCATGAACTTTGACCCACCAAAGTACTCCTCTTGTTTAAGCCGTGAAGTTTTTACAAAGCGGGAGACATAGGTTGCTTTTCCATCTTTGATGCGCATGCCGTGTATCATTCTGCATAGTAATTAGTATCATGCAATAAGTCGTCGTGTGAGCACGAGGAGGATACGCATTATTGTAAATAAGTGACAAACTTGTAAAAACTCATCTTTACTTCTCATTTACAGCATGTAAAATGAACCAATTTCACCTTGTTCAACAACTATCAAAAACTTTTCAACCACACAAACTCCACCACAAGAAAATATGTATAACCCAGAAAAGAAGAAGTCACTGGAACCAGAACTCAGAGGAAGAATATTGCAAGATACCAAAATAACTTAGTCAACCAGACAAGGTTCTAGCAGTAATAATAAGATCAAGTGACTTAACAAGGAAGGACAAATGGAACATCTGAAGATAATAATCATCCAGAAGTAAATTAAAGAACTATCCTAAAACTAGAACAAGGATGTGAAAGACGCACCCATCTCCATCAAACCTGCACACAAAAAACCAAGAATAAGGTTAGATTATCATTTTATATCAACATAACTAACTGGCTGATGCAATATAAGTTTCATAAAAGAAATCCCAGCAATAAATCAGAAACCACAGTCAGAGATAGAGAACATTATATGCATGATAATTAATATAGCTCTTGAGAAAAGGATTACCAATGGTATCCAGCAACAGGAGCAAACTTTGCATTTGGACCAACCCTCACAAATTCACCATTGAGGCATTCCTGCAGTATGCAAAATTCCCCAACTCAAATCAGTTTCACATTTAAGCCTTTAGGTAGGGCTTATGAAGCTAAGAATGAGATAGCTCTGAAACACAAAGAGAAAAGTATCAAAATCAGGTAACCTTATGACATTATTCGCATTAAACTGTTAGGGTGTGTTTATATACAAATAATCTCAATTCATACTCAAAATTTAACTCAACTTTATCCCTAACATTATCAATATAATTAAATAATACTAATAAATTATTCTTACACATCACATCAACTTTAATTCACTATTCATCCACTCACATAATTTTAACTAACCATCACTCAAATCATCTCTCTCCTACTTTTATCAAATCAACTTTAATTATTTTATTTTAAATATTATTTTAATATAAACTCAAAATCCCACTAAAAAGTAATCATACCATTTTTTCCAATTTACAAATTAACCCTCGTTAAAAATAAAAACTCATTTTGAGCGGGTATATTTGTATACAAGCACGCCCTTAGGCATTCGAAGGGGAGGAAGGAAAACTTTCCCTTGATTAATCATATGCTTAGCATAGTACTTTAGAGAACAGACTTTATGAAGTCCTTCTAAAACTTCCGAGTAAAAGGAACTTGGATGTTTTAACATGTAGAATATTTTCCGTCTTTCCTTGTAATTCCAAAGCAGAAATGCCTTCTCTAGCACTTCCTCTCTTTGATTAGTTAAGGAAAAAGAATAATAATAATTCTGAAGAACCAAATTTAAATGAGAGTCAAAATTCATGGATATGAAAAGATTGTTCAATAATAGTCAATAGATTGTTTATTACTGAATGGAAAAAATTGCATAGAGCCTAATAAAAGTCTAAAAGCAGAAGTATGAACCTAATAGTCAACGGATTCATGTCCTCGATCATACTAATAATTCATTTTCCTATGCACCACTTTTCTTAGAGCTAAAAACCGATAAAAATAAAGCTCCAGGTACCAGACAAAATTTGAAAACCTCGAAAAGAAACTAATAATATTGAACACTATTGTCTGTTCCCGGATCTAACATAAGCACAAAACAAACATACTTGGGCACACACGATCGACTCGTCGACAGTGCACCCACAGCAAGAAAAAGAATATGCTCAAAAACAAAAGGAACAAATTCCTCCATAAGAATTAAGAAACTATAACAGATTCTTCTCCCTTCTCCCAAAGAGGGACTCATGAATAAATAAAAAGAAAAAAAATAGAAATGGAAAACAAAAGGATTCTCAGTCCGATTTGAAAACATGCTGAAAATTGCTTAATCTTTTTTATTTTATTTTATTATTTTTATTATTTTTTATTTTTTATTTTTTTGGGTGTGTGTTTCTTCATGAGCTGCAGAGCAACAGTTAATCTTCATCTTCAGCAGGGAAAACATACTCAATCCCCGTTTCCACAAAAGGGAACTGAAAGCAGCTCAACAGAAGGAAAAAAGAAACAAAAACAGACAACCAAAATTGCAGAGAGAAATGAACCACACACGCATAGAATTCACAATAAAAAATGCCCAAAATCTCCGCCAGTTTTTAAAAAGTAAAGGGAAACTCACCGGGAGGTGCCCTATAACAGGAAGATCGGCAAGAGGCGAAGTCTCATCGACAGGGGCAAAGTTGCCGGAAAGGTAATGAAGAGGAGCCTTAGAATCATGCATAATTTTCACAAAAGCCCATTCGAGCCAGTCCACCGCCTTGGAGGCCAGGCCTTTATTCGGCTTCGGCTCCACCAAAACTACGCCGGCGGACGTCCTCTCCACATCCCTCTCCTCTCCCTTGAGGCCCATTTCTAGCTTCTTCTTTTTGTGATTGTGATTGTGATTGTGATTGTGTTTGTGTTTGTGTAGTGCAGATGATGGATGGGGGTTTTAAAAAGGAGATGGAAATGTGTGCATGTGAGTGGTTGCTTTTGGTTGGTTAGCCGGACGGCCACCTAGCTCGTGTGAAGATTTGATTGAGACATAATTTATTTTTTATTTGATCATTTCCTTTTTGTTTTTCTAATTGTTTTAGCAATTATTAAATAGTAAATTGTTTTGAATATTACTTAACTAATTTAATAAAACACAGTTCACTAAAAAAATTAAATTTTGGACAACATTGTCATTTTATTAAAAATGTACTTTTAAATGTTCAATTTTTAGTTTGAAAAAGTTTCTCCATTCAACTTTTTAAGAAAAGAGTATTAATATTCACCGCACCCATTTTTACTATTCACCGCGCCCTTAAAATACTATTTTGCCCTTATTAAAAAATAATAATAAAAAATTCAATTTTTAAATTTTTTTTTAAATGTGGCCAAAAAATATATGATCTTATAAATTGATGAATGTGGCCAATCACATGAATGTTATAACACAAAATTCGAAAAAAAAAATCATAAAATTCGAACAAAATTCCAAAAAAAAAAAAAA